CAGAAGTAGCACCTGAAGCTTAGGCAGTAGTTCGAGACAGTGGGAAGTATCAAACACAGGCTCGGTGAAGAAGAAATGGTTGAATAAAATTCGCCGGATGGGAAGATCAGGTTTCCCAAACGAATTATTCACAAAAGTGGATATTTCCTGTTAGAGAGAAAAATGCATGCCGTATTGCATGAGCTCATTATTTGGAATGCTGTTAAGATTCAGAAAGTTTGCAGCTGCTGTCGCTGCGGATATAGAGGAAATGTTCCTTCAAGTGAAAGTGCCAGAGAGCGACAGAGATCACTTAAGGTTCTTGTAGTTTGATGATGGTCCTTGTGGTTAGGTGTCAGAATATAGGATGACAGTCCATCCATTTGGTGCCACGTCCTCCCAGTTTTGTGCTAATTTCGCTCTACGTAAAGCTGTGTCCACGCTTGGTTCTGATGATCTGCTGGACGCCATCGATTGTAGCTTCTATGTGGCTGATTGTTTAGCCTCTTTCGATGATGATAAGTCTGCAGTTAGATTTGCAACAAGTATTACCTCGATGTTAGCTAAGGCTGGTTTTCGTTTAATTAAGTGGGTATCGAACAGCCTAGACGTCTTGAAGCATTTAGTTTCAGAAGAGAGAGTACCTACTGTACGAGATTTACCTGTTGACACTCTACCAGTTGAACACACATTAGGTATGCGATGGGATGTGAACTCTGATACCTTTGGATTTAGTGTTGGTGATATTGATAAGCCAGTCACTCGGAGAGGTGTGCTCTGTGTGTTGTCGTCCATGTTTGACCCACTTGGATTAGTAGCACCTCATCTACTTCCGGCCAGGACGTTATTTCAAGCGACATGCAGGAAAGGGTTACAATGAGATGACCCATTAAGTGAGAGACACAGTGAAGAGTGGAAAAGGTGGGTTAACAATTTAAGAACGCTGGATCTATATTCCGTCTCACGTCCACTTAAGCCATCGAAAAATCATGAGATTCATAGTAACGATCCGGTGACTGATATCATAACCCTAGTTTAGTTCAAGTCGGAACTCCCTCATGAGAAACAAAGGCACACAGTAGAGAACCCAAAACATAGACCCGGAATATAGGCTAGTCGAACTGATATCCATTAAGAAGCGGTTTCTAGTGGAGACTGATATAGGGCTGCTACAACACAGTACTCTGTGGATATATTAAATGATTAAGTAACTTGGAAGGTGGGACGGGAGACCAAGCAAGAACTACGTCCTCCTTCTAGTTCTTAAGGCTTCCATTATGTATTGAATAGCGAATGCCTCCTCCACGTGTTTCACAAGGTTTACTGCTTCAATTTCACTCTGCCGTGCTTTCGATGACAACGCTTTAAGAACACTATTAGTCTCCCATAATATTGCGAGCTGTCAGTCGGCGATTTGAGTAATTATTTTGACAGGGAAGTCAATTCTAAAAATACAGCTGATACCATGCTAGGGTCTTTGGCGCGAGACTTTCAGCGTTAGTAATGCTCTGATGGACTGGTGTTTCCACGATTTCGTATGTAAAGCGCAGGGACTCTAGGATGTGGATGACCCAAGAAGGCGGTGGCAGGTTCTTCTGAAGCCGTACAGATGGAACTATTGCGGATGGCCGACTTGTTACTTTTGCATCCATAAATCGAAGGAAAATATGTTTGCTCTCTGCATTGCTGGTCAGGGCATCCGAAGGAGTGTGCACTTCCCACGATACAAGCGTGTACAGTGTTCGCTCTGAACACCGCATCTGTATGGACATAAGTGTCGACTGTCATGGTTTAGGGGAGATGTAGGTAATCCATAAGGTTTCCGCAGCCAGTTATCGTTTACCAAAAGGCTTGTGTGTCTCGTGTTCAGGACCCGGGTGCAGGTCATACCACTTGTAAAGCATGCTTCAGTTCTGGTTGTTTGAGTTGGTAGTGCATAGACCAGTGGTATATGCTGTCATATGGGCTTCGTTAGATAGGGTAGCTAGTATTTGATCATCATGTTCACTATCTGGCGACTGCACCAGGAAAGCCTGGCTATGGTTTTTCCACGTCGGATAGTTCTAATTAAGCTGGAAGACTGGATGTTCGCGGAGAGTGGTGGAGAAAGGTTCAGTCGGTGAGCATGTCCGAAGGAACGTAGTGAGAGATTCACTTTTTGATAAAAATTTCATGTCTGCGGGCAGCTTTGACTTAGATTTGCAGCACACTGACCGACAGTAACACAGGAAAGTAGGCTGGAACATGAGCTCAGAGAGAACGTGTATTCAGTACAATCACAAAAGTTAGAGTGAGTGAGTCAAGCACTTAAAAATGGTTAGTCATTTTGTTTTATTTAATATCAGGTCTCAACAACTGTTACTCTTCTTTCGACAGAAAATTGACACCTGTATAGCACCCCGAAAGGAAGGAGAAGAACTGATTGGTGATTTGTCTATACAGATGCCTACAGTTTTAGAGAATACGCAGAGCAAAACAAATAAGTATGTAAATGAAGCAGTCGGATACAGTGAGCTTTTTCCTGTCTGACAGTTTACTGTGTATCTGGTTGAAAGAAGAATGTGACCCTATTAAATGCATTTTTGACAATAGTGGAAAACTTGGCTACTCACAAAAGGATAAGTTTGTCCAGCTTTGCACGTGATGCGCCGTAGATGTTACCTAGATGGACGACAAAGGCTTCGCAATTAAATCAACTAGCCCAGAGAATGCAACTTATTCAATTTGACAGTCGCAATAATTGACATTAGTTTCAGGATGATGAAAATCCTGTAACCAATCAAATCCCTACAAACCAGCACTTGAATATCAATGAGATGCTCACTAGTGACTTGCCCTATTCAGGTAGGTAGTTGCCTGGGGTTCTAGTGAGAAGTTGTGACCAGTAGGGGGCAGCAGGTCGGGCGTGATGACAAATACTCGCCGAAGACATTGGCTAGTGGTCGCGATATGTCGTGAATTGGCAGAAGTTAGAATTCATAGACCATTGGATCGGGTCCCAGTGGCTTAATGGTATACGAGCTCGTCTTGTAACCAGAAGGTCCTTGGTTCGAATCCCGGTGGTGCGTACTGATGAAGAGTCCTAAACTAGGACGAAACGGCTGTCAAGGACTCCCAGGTTTTCCAATGGTACTACAACTAATGTCAGCTCATGATGAAAATCCTGTAAACAATCAAATCCCTACAAACCAAAACTTCAATGACATTAGTTTGTTTCGTTGCACAGCTCGTGCGATTGGTACAGGTTACTGGGTTTTCGTTAACTAAACTAAGCTAGGTATATTGCTACGAGATAATATTGTGAATGAGAAGCTGTCTGAACGTGACACCCCTGAATATTCGTTTCTCGTGTATTAGCTGTGCAAAGGTACCGAGAACGAGTGGTTCCTAACGTAATCTTATGGGGCTCGTGTTCGTTCTCATTGGGACTTTGTGCATTGATATAAGAAGTAAGATTTGGGCCTTGTGGTAGAGTATAATTCCATCAAAGATCAGATTTTTTTGATAAAAGCACACAGTGATACAGTATTGTTTGCTTACTGATGACGTCGCGAGCACAATCTATTGCTCATAATTATTATCAAGGCACTCGCATATTCTTCAAGTCTCGCTTTTTATAATTCCATTAAAGCCTACCCTTTGCACGTATTGGTGGTGATGTTTTCCATATCTCGTATTGTCAGCGAGTCATTCTTATTGTATGTGTAACGTGTGAATTCGGTGAACAAAGCCCCAGTGATCAGCCTCTCCCAACTACTCATATAGCTTCTTGTAACTGCAGTTCTCCCACCCTATTGACTGTTACTACATGCATTGAGATTTCTGAGTTATTCTCCAAACTATTCATCGTTAGGTCAGTCATCCTACACTTATCGGAATTCTTCCGTTCCGGTGATATGACTACCCCTGACCTACTGGTCTGACGTGTCAGTCGTTGCAAGCGTTCCAGTAGATTGCGCAATTTTGTCTAATGACATCAATTGAGTCATACACAGTTTATCTCACTTATTGATATTCTTCAGATCGCTGTGAAATTGAGTAATTTTTTGCATGTGCTACCACAAGCAAACATTCGGCCATAGGTATGAGAACAACTCACTTCCGGACACAACACAAGACATTTTCACAAAAGCTTTACTGACCTCTGTCAGCTCGGAATAAAACTTGTGAGCGGTGGTAGAGTATAATCCCACCACGTAGAAAATTTTATTTTGATAGTCTCTCGGTGTTGTGAGCAGAATTTATTGTCCATAATCGTCAAGGTGCACAACTTTCTGACTTCATTTATAAACATGAGTAAGAAATTAACTAGACACACGAATGAGTAAAATAAAAGTCAATATACATGCATGAAACAGAAAGGAAGATAGAATACATTTGGAAATAATATTGGTTATCAATATAATGATACAATGGGAAATAAGACGAGTGTTGTCAGTCAATAAAGTGTTTTGTCAGTAAAATAAAATAACATGTTGGAGTGTGAAAACGTGAATTGAAATAAAGCATTCCAATATGGAGAAAAATATACATGACGAGTGGGATTGTTGACAGAGGGGCATAGTTGACTTTCACAATTTTAACATTAGCCTGAGAGGCTGTAATGTCAGGAATTTTACTTCACACCTAGGGAATCTGGCCTGTTTACTGGCAGTAGTGATGCTGTTTTATGAAGTGGTGCGTTTTCCACCGGTTTGGGGGGATTGTCATGCAATACCTCGCAACATCTGAGAGCATCAGCATCGATGATTCAGAAGTACTTTATGTCCACTTATCACGTCAATAAGCTGATGACTGTCAATTCGAACCTTTCCGTATCACTATTTACACCTTTGACCTTATTCCCTTACGGGAAATATTTTTATAAAAACCATATATAAACGTTTGTACAGCTTGATGATAAATTCGTTGAGAACAGCCTCTTCGCTGAATATTGTGTTCTTAATGCTACAATGGGAGTTATCGAATTGTTGAAAAATCACATTGAATGTCCAATCCATTGAACCAAGAGCACTGATGTTTGAATTAACATGACTGGACACCTCCATTACAGTCCTTACGAAAGCTGGAGGTATACGTCGGTATCTTTTGTCATTATTTTAGTTCTCGTATACATACCTAGTTTCTATTGACTGTTTATAATTGTTTTGAGGCGAAGTTAAACTGTGACGGTCACCCTTCTGGACATTACCGCTATTCCAGAACAACTAAATTAAATAGCAATGAAACTCGCAAAACTGGTTAGGTGACTGCAGGTGACAGTGTCATCGAATCCCTCTATATATCTAGAAGTGCTCTTTAATCTAGCCAAAAATACCATTCCTCTCAAAATACTGGTTATTCTGAGAAGCTTCCTCCGCGTACACAGTTTTTATTGCCCTGGGTTCCGAGTAGAGCATGGGGCCTCAAACATACATCTCCGTTCTGTGCTGTTCCCCGCAGTCTGATTTGGCTGGCTTCGCGTCTGCCCGTAGGCTCTCATCACCTAAATATTATGCTCGGACTCCAAACTCGACATTCCCCATTCATGTCCCACTCGTGAGCCTGACGTACAAGTCACTCAACTGTCTTCTAAGTGTGTCCGATCCATCGCCATTCCCTCCAGCACATATGTTAGGCAATAGGTCTCTGTTTGTTTCGTGACAAAAGTTTCTAGTTACTTGTTCATTCTGGCCATCTAACATGTACAGAGCGAAGATCGATGCTTATGGAAGTCTCCAACAGCCTTTTGGAGATGCACTTTGTGACGTGCAAAGCCTCCGAGGCATATAGAAGCACTGACGTGCCATCGGTGTTGCCACTGTGAATCTTGTTCTTTATGCTGACTTCGGTAGATTTCCACGCTGATATCGGTTTAATGAATGTCTGTCTTGTTTTCCCGGTCCTGCCTTTAGCAACTTCATCCGTTCTGCCTTCAGCTGAAATGATGCTGCCCATATAAGTGGAAAAAGTGATCTTGTCCGAATTTCTTCTGTTGATGGTGGCTGGTGCTTGTTGTTGCTGACTGGTAGTCATCAATGCCCCTTTGTTCACTTGAATTCCTGTCTTCACTGCCTGTACTCCCAACTGGTTGGTTTTCGGCTGTAGGTCTCGAGTTCGTGTGACGTTAGACGAATCACCTGCAAAATTCAGGCTTTGCAGAGTCTTATCCTACCAATGTATTCCCATCTTCTCGTACCCCGCGGTGTGACGCATGGGTAAGTGTAAGAGAGGAGCTAGTGGTGATGAAACCAAGATTTGGCATCAGCCCATGAAGTCATTGATGGTTATTTTGAACCATGTGGGCAGGTGTGAATTACCTGGCTAGAGTCATTGGGATTCTAAGAGCCAATAGCTGGAGAGAATTGATGGTATGAGTGCAAATCAACCTCAGTGGTGAAGCTATATTCACTCTTTGTGATTTCCCATTAAACCCTAATGTTCCTCCTCGCTACTGTTGTTTCAGTCTCGATTTTCTGCTTATTACGGTCATTTTGAATCCCTTCTCTTTTCTGCACTTACTTGCTGCACTTCTATTCAAAGTTCCACTTTGAAACCCGGTCAATCATGTTGTCTTCCTGGCTCTCAGTTGCTTCATGGTATTCTAGATTTCTGCTTTTACTGAGGGGTTGGTGTTCACTGGCAGTACTGTGGCTCTTGGCAGTATTTCTGGTCGAGTTCCAGGTGGTAGTTGATCCAAGAGTGTTTTGAATTGATCGAGCCATTGTTTCGTCTGCTCCACCTCCTTGGTAATTAGGTCCCCTTTGCTATCTTTCACTGGAGATGTGCTGTTGGAGCCATGTAGTGCACTCAGAACCCATGGGAACAATAATAGTTTTTCGCTAGCTTCATCTGTGTTGGTCTTTCCCCGATAAAGACCTGGTTATCTGAAATAATGTTCTGGAGCCTCTCTCTCTCACCCGCAGCCTCTTCTGCACTGGTTCCCAGTGTGTCATAGAATTATTTCTCGTCTATTTCATCACCCTTCTTGATTCAGAGAGTTTTAGGTTGAATTGAGCTTCTCCTTCCGTTGTCCATCTTTGCATTGGTTCATCTGTTTCACAATTCCTTTGTTGTCTGTTAGCTTCCAGGTGTCCGTAAACAGCCACTATTTGTATGGACCCCTCTCCCTTTCTAAGACAGCTGCACAGGCACCCTTCAACGTCACTTTCAGAGAGTTAATGTGTTCGTCGAAACAGGCTTTCTGTGTAGTGATACATAGTGTCTTTGGCTTTTCTCCAATGGCTATGATGAGGGTGACCTTTATAGTGTCATCTCTCACTTCCTGAGTGGTGGCAACTCCAGTTCGGACAGTAATCAAACGCTCGATCTTCCTGGAAATCGTTAGGCGAATACAGGAGAGGAGAAGTGGTCTCATTTAGTTATACCAACTGTAACTAACTGGATGTCGGTCATGTTCCACAATAGGCTGCCATAGTTTAACTTCGCTTCTTTAACTTTTGTTCATGTCAGCAACGTTTGTGTGAAGAAATTGACTCTAGTTTGCACTGTTTTTCATTTTAGCATGCTTTCAAATGTTTTTAGGTATCAGGTGTTTCTATCCCAATGGCCGATTACTACACTCAGGATTATGGAGCACCAGTGGAGTATAATAATTCAGAAGCTGGTTACGGGTCCACCACTCAGCCTGCTGCAACAGGCAATGGCGAATACAACCAGTTTTCCTATGACCACATGAAAGATGAGGATGATTATCAAACAGGTGCTATGCGCAGTGATAGGAGACCACCATCGCCCCAGTCTAAATACGATTCTGGTAGCGAGGATCGCGGTCGAGTGAAAAAACGTGACCGTAAAAGGTCGCGCAGCCGCAGCCGTGATCGCCGGCGTCACAGTCGTGACCGTGATCGCCACCGTGACCGTAGCAGAGAACGCAAGTCCAGGCGGCATCATTCTCGTCATCGGTCTCCGTCCAGTCCACCATTGGTCTATAAGTATTGGGACGTCCCACCACCTGGATTTGAACATGTGACACCCGCTCAGTACAAAGCTCTCCAGGCATCGGGTCAGATACCGGTCAATGTTTATGCCGCGGGACAAGTGCCGATGCCAGTTCACGCACCGAATGCTCCACTAACACTCACAACGAACGTGCCGTTTGCTGGAAGTGCTGTATGCAGACAAGCTCGTCGTTTGTACGTTGGCAATATACCGTTTACTGCGACGGAAGAGAATATGATGGAGTTCTTCAATAAGCAGATGAGAGCTCAAGGTCTCATTCAGGCGGAGGGGAATCCGATAATTGCCGTGCAGATCAACATGGAGAAGAACTTCGCCTTCCTTGAGTTCCGTTCTGTCGATGAGACAACTCAAGGATTGGCGCTCGATGGTGTATTGTTTCAAAATCAAGCACTGAAACTCCGTCGACCTCGTGACTATGCTCCCCTACCCGGTGTATCAGAGCAACCTTCTGTCATTGTTCCTGGAGTGGTCAGTACTGTCGTTCAGGATTCCCCACATAAAATATTTGTCGGTGGTCTTCCTAACTATCTGAATGAGGACCAGGTGAAAGAGCTGCTGTTGAGCTTTGGCCCTTTAAAGGGGTTCAACCTCGTCAAAGATGGTTCGACCGGTTTGTCGAAAGGTTATGCCTTCTGTGAGTATGTGGATGCTAATGTCACAGATCACGCGTGTGCTGGTCTTAATGGCATGCAGTTGGGTGACAAGAAGCTGATAGTGCAGAGAGCGAGTGTTGGTGCCAAACACACAACCAATGTCCTACCTCAGAGTTTGCTACAACTACCTGGTCTGGAAGACGGCACAGTTCAGAACACAACTGGTTCGGGTAATATCACCATCCGTAGTGGTGGACCACCGACTGAAGTGTTGTGTCTAATGAACATGATCGAAACGTCAGAACTGGAGGATGACGATGAGTACGAAGATATAGTGGAAGATGTGCGCGCAGAATGCAGTAAGTATGGCGTTGTTCGGAGTCTGGAGATACCCCGTCCAATTCCCGGAGTTGAGGTTCCTGGAGTCGGGAAAATATATGTCGAGTTTGCCAGTTTGATTGACTGCCAGAAAGCCGCGACTGCATTGACTGGTCGGAAGTTCAACCAGCGTTTGGTTGTCACTTCCTTCTTCAACCCTGATAACTACCACCGAAGGGAATTTTAACCATATTTAACTATGGCTGTCTTTAGTTGTATATATGACACATTTTAAACTTAATGAATTGACCTACAAAAATATCTTACAGCGATTTAGTTTTGTCTTCTACTGTGATTTGTATGTGACGAGAGCTGGGGCAGTTCAACGAAGGGGTCGTTGTTTGTTGCTGTCGGTCTCCGTGTGTATGTTGAAGTTTCGTGGGGATGCTGTGTATTCGCAAGTTTCGTGTAGGCTTCGTAGGTGAACGGTTTAATTCTCCTGTAATATGGTAGAATGTGCTGGAGGTTAGTGTTTTGTGCCGAGAATTGTACATTTCTTCCTAATTGATATTTGTTCTAAGATACTTTGTATTTCACGAATGCATTTATAGTAATTACGTATACTGAGCCTAATATTTCAGTAAGTTATTCGTGATAGACAAATGCTAGGTTTTTTGTATCGCATTTTGACGTCTTATGTTGATTGTGAAAATCGCTTTGCGTTATGTCACATAGGAGCCTCAGGATGGTCGGGGGTGGGTGCCTTGCGCTGCGGGTTGGCCACCCCTCCGCACACCTCTTGAAATCCTCCCATATGACCGGGCGTCTTACATAGCCTCTCCTGAGGAAGTCCTACTCACTGCCTTCACGTGGCGGAGGTGTTTTTCACTAAAGTGAGAGGGCGAAAGCGGATGCCCGGCGCTCTTCACCAGGTTGACTGTCCATTGGATGACAGTCTAGGGGAGATGGCTAAACCCTGATTCCAAACCTCCAACGACTGGCGTATGAAGCTCACTGGAGCTCACCGGCAGACGTATGGACAAAGGGCTTGTTGGATGTCTGGCCCCATTCAAAAAGGCGTATGAACCGAACTCCGGTCACCGGCTGCCAATGGATAGTGGACTCCCTACTCCACTCCTACTGCCTTGTAGGTCACACTTGGTTGTGTAAAGGCTAGAGCTGCACTCTCAAACAAAAGGCCGAGCGATTCTGGGGACATCACTCGTACCAAATTCCCATGAAACTTCATGAACTCTCTTACAAACGACTCTCACCATGACGATCTGGTCAAATCAGTTCTTGCATCAGATCGCCGCTCCTGGGCAGTGATGATTCGAGATGTTCATGAAGCCGGCTCATCCTCCCGTAGGAGATAGCCGAAGTAAAGTAAAGTAAGTAGTGGTACTTGTCTATCGGAATAACTTTGGCTAGAAGACCTCGCTACGTAAGTGTAGCAAAAGTGAAGGGCTGTATGCTGAGGTATGCATAGTTTTTGCCTCTGTGTACTAAATCTTCGTGTCATGTAGTGTTGGTTTGTCAGCAGACGCTAAATACGGAGTTCCTAAGCTCAAGGCATATGCCTACATCGGTGCGGGTGCAAGTTTCTTCATATGTTACTGATAGGCTTCAGTATGAAGTTAACTACTAACATAGGGATTTCTTTAGTGCCGTATTTGATATTATGTAGTAGTCCAGGTTTCGAAGGACCTAGCTGAGGCAGTGGCCTAGGTTGTGAGATACACACCTGCGACAGATGTTAAGTGCTCTTCCGTTGATCTGTCCCTAAGTTGTGGCACGGACTGTATCAGGCCTTGTGCCGCATTGGTGCGTGCATTTAAGGACTGGCTACAGTGGCCAAGAGGAAATGGAGAGGCATGTAATGTTATTTAAGGTGGTAGCCGTACTCTCTGAGATATCGCCACTTGAAATGGTATTCGCTGACTACTGACAGATAGACTATGGCAGTTCCGTAATAAGGAACATATATTAAGACGTCTTGGTGAGTTGCAATGGAATCTTTTGGTAACTAAGCTGGTATCAAAATAGGCTATAAAGCCAGTTTTGGGAAATGTGCATTTTCAGGACGATTGCAACCATTCGATACCTAAAGTATGTTTCACGATGTCACTTGTGTAGCATTCGCCAAATTGCTAAATCTCTGGCGTAGGTGTGACATTAGGTTATTGACCAAATGCTTGCATATCATTTGATAGTTACTTTCGTCCCCAATGTCCTGAAGCATTGTCATCGAAAGTGAGAGATATGAAAAGTAGAAATGTCTTTGAACATTGGTGTCTGCGCTGTCTTCCGTGTTAAGTGGTAGATAATATTTTGGTTGTTACTAGAAAAGAAAGTGTGCCGATACAGATTCATATGGATAGGATACGTGAAATGAATGCTGAACCGTTATCTTTCTTATTGGACAAGTTCATCTGATATGGAATTAGAATGGAGAAGATTTGGCACTGGCTAGATACCGCATCTCACCAATTCAAGAAGTTTGGTATAAGCCAAGTAGGGAAGGTGTAGTCTACTTGGAATACGGGATCACATGGCTCAAGATTGTTTTGAAATGGCGAAGATGCATTCACTTTAGTAGACTCCCAAATGGGATTTTCATTAATCACCGTAAACTTTTCTACCATGAATTTTATCTTTAGGTTTTTCTTCTACAACCATGTTATGATGGAAATCGACATTAAGTCGTCTATGTTTTGTATAAAGCTCTGTGTCGTTGTCAATCAGCTATTGGCATGAGACGAAATAGCTCGCTAATTCTAACATCCGACTGAGTTTCAATAAAGAACTTAGCAGAGCAGTTTAAGTTACAACACTCCATATAGTACACAAAGGTAACGAAAGGAGATTGAATAGAATATAATGAACATAAATGCGTGAGGGGAAGATTGGTAGCATAGAGGGGCATGAGAGTTCGTTGGATAGTGGAGGTCACAAAGAGTGAGTGCATCTGCGTCACTGAGTACGGTCCTGAATGATATCACCAATAGTCTATGGCCATTTGCTTTTAGCATCCTGAAGACTCCAAGTAGGTAGTCTACACCTCCCCATCTGGCCCTGACCAACTGTCATGGACTGATGCTAAGTTTTCGTCTGACCATGCGTCGCTCTTATGCAACCGAGGTCTATGTCGGCTAACATTGCTCACTGAGAAAGACAGTGACTTCGTCTCTGTAACACGAGTCCTAGGTGTGTCGATCGATTGATCTTCATCAGTTGACTTACCTTCTTTACGTTATTGGCCATATTATACCACTTGACATGGAGAACAGAATACAGACATTTATGGTTGAGGGCAGCTAGCCTTTTGATATTTACTACTTCCAACCACTGTCTCAAAGCCATAAATGAGGACATAGTGGACCACTGTAAGGTGCGAATGAATTTGGCCAATAGTTTGATGTCTCATCTACGCCAGACATAAGGCAAGTTGGCGAATTTCACACGAGTGTTTTGTATCCGAGCTGAGACTTTATCGACTCAGTCCGTTCAGGCTTATGACTTTCCAAATAAATAAATCGGTCTAAACACAACCACTTCACTCTCTGTAACTAGAAGTCGATGTAGTTCAGTCCTGTAGCATACATTTACATTTGGTGTGAGCCAACTGCATGCCAAACACTCAAAGATCTCTGCTCAAGGTGTTTGGAAGACTCCATTTTACCAGCGACTTCAACATGGAGAAGAATATCAGTCGTATACTCCACACTGGTGGAACTGTCCCATGACAACTGGTCAATCCCATTGGTGCACTTGGGATAAAATTAAACTAAAGTGGTGACAGTGGGCATTCCTGACTCACACCACTGGTTACCATAACTTGAGATGACATTGTGCCTTGGGCTCGTACACAGCTTCTAGTATTTGGGTAGAGTGCACTGATTAGTGCGATGAACTCCCATCATGGTCAGACATTGCCATAGCATCTCCAGGTTGACGGAGTTGAATGTCTCCTCCAGGCCAAGGGGTATGGAGGTTGCTGGACACCAGTGAGTATGCACGTGTTCCAGATCTAAAGCTTGCGTGGTTCTGCTGGGTTTGATTCTCCTAAGCACCACTTATACTACGCGTGATTGTTGAACCTAGAACTTCCGAGACTACATTAGTCAAGCTAATTCCCCTATGTTAATCACGGGAATTTGTCTCATATTATGAAATGCGATAACCAAAAATATGCGTTTTACGGCGATATCCTTAATTCGCGGACATTACCTAATACCCTAGTTAACCCAGACAACAGTTTGTCTCCACTTCCCTCAAACACTTCTAGAGTCATTTCATAAGGTATTCCTGTTTTGTCTCGCTTCTCTCTGTCTGTCTCTTTGTTTTGGACATAGAACTTTGCACATATGTGCGGCAGTTGAAGTCGCCACACTTCATGTAGCACACAAAGCAAGAGAAGAAATTAGGAGAAATGCATAATAGAGCCAGTAAATACAGGTGTGAGACAGAGGAATAGTAATAACGAAGAACAAAACAGTTTCAATGGAAATCATAAGTCACAAGGAGTGGATGCATCTGCGCCATCGAGAACGATTTTGAGCCATGTCACCAATCGTTTCCAACCATTGGGTTTTACCGTCCCGAGGACCCCAACCAGGAAGTCTACACCTCTCTACGTGGCCTAGACTATCTGTCGTAGATTTCATTGACTGGTGCCATGTTTTGGTTTGACCGCCGATAGCTCTTTTCTAGCCTGGCCCTATGTCGGCTAAGATTGCTTGTCGAGGAAGGCGAGAACTAGGCATAAGTAACACATGTCTTAACCATCTCAGTCGATGTAATTTCACAGCCTTGTCAATTGATTTCCCCTCCTTACCTAGCACTCGACCGATGCTTAAGTTTAATATAGATAAACTTATTATACCACTTCACACGGGAGATAGAACGGAGTCACCTATAATCAAAGACAGCTAGCCACCACCCTCAAAATGGCCATGTCTCACAGCCATAAAGGAGGACGGAGCGGACTGCTGAGCAATGCACCCGCCCTTTGGTCGATAGCCAGCCGGATATCATGTCTACGCCAGAGACGGCGTAAACTGGCATATGCGAAACTAGCCCTCTGTATCCGTGCTGAGATTTCGTCAGAGATCAACCCGTTGGGGCTGATGGTACTTCCCAAGTAAGTGAAGCGGTCAACGTGCTCTACCACTTCACTTCCCATTTCTAATCTAGGAGTCGGAGTATTCCAATCCTGTAACATGCCTCGCTTTACATTGGAGACAGCCTTTGTAGTCCTATTTCGAGTTGGCGGACTGTTGCCAACATTCAGTATGGGTAAGTGTTAGATGCTGGGCAAGTTCATTGTGGCTATAGGCTGTTTAAATTGCTCCTTGAAGTGTTCACTCCAACGGTTCAATCGTCTATCCTGCGGACGAATTAGGGCGCCGCCTCCCTCGGAGTTTGTCTGGCTTTTTGAAACTCATTTCTCCAATAATTTCAAATAGTTGTTTGGTGTTACCTATTACCGATGTCTTTTCTATCTTCCTCGCTTTTAAGGCCCACCCCTTTCTCGTGGCCACTGCGGGGAATTTAGGTCACCTGGTTTTCGCTCCTCAATATGTACAGATCCTGTTGGAATCAGTCTGCTTGTGTCAATCAGTTACACAAGGCGACAGGATCCCCTTAGCACTTACTAACTTTTCATTTTTAGCTATCAACAACCTTTACTGTTGTTTCTACAGCTGACGTGATATAATGTCAAGCTTTTTCAGGATGAGCATTGCTGTCAGTCTCACACGCGTTAAGCTGGTTTTTTCTGGAATAGGAGCTTAGTGTCCTCATTGAATTGGGGTCGTTGCAGATTCATTGGTGCTTGTTTACAGTGTCCGTTCAGTTTCGGGCAAGTATGTGTGCCGACTAGGTTGTGACCAGAGTTTACGCGAATGTTGCAGGAGCAGCAGTTTATCTACTAACCCTCTCCTTCAATAGCCTATCGCTATGTAGTGTATAGTAGTCCGTCTATCCGATGCAGGAATCTGGAATTAGTGCAAGTTCAAGCACCCCGTCAAATAAGTAAGTAAATGAAGCACTCGGATACAGTGAGCACTTTCCTGTCTGACAGTTTACTGTGTATCTGGTTGAAAGAAGAATGTGACCCTATTAAATGCATTTTTGACAATAGTGGAAAACTTGGCTACTCACAAAAGGATAAGTTTGTCCAGCTTTGCACGTGATGCGCCGTAGATGTTACCTAGATGGACGACAAAGGCTTCGCAATTAAATCAACTAGCCCAGAGAATGCAACTTATTCAATTTGACAGTCGCAATAATTGACATTAGTTTGTTTCGTAGCACAGCTCGTGCGATTGGTACAGGTTACTGGGTTTTCGTTAACTAAACTAAGCTAGGTATATTGCTACGAGATAATATTGTGAATGAGAAGCTGTCTGAACGTGACACCCCTGAATATTCGTTTCTCGTGTATTAGCTGTGCAAAGGTACCGAGAACGAGTGGTTCCTAACGTAATCTTATGGGGCTCGTGTTCGTTCTCATTGGGACTTTGTGCATTGATATAAGAAGTAAGATTTGGGCCTTGTGGTAGAGTATAATTCCATCAAAGATCAGATTTTTTTGATAAAAGCACACAGTGATACAGTATTGTTTGCTTACTGATGACGTCGCGAGCACAATCTATTGCTCATAATTATTATCAAGGCACTCGCATATTCTTCAAGTCTCGCTTTTTATAATTCCATTAAAGCCTACCCTTTGCACGTATTGGTGGTGATGTTTTCCATATCTCGTATTGTCAGCGAGTCATTCTTATTGTATGTGTAACGTGTGAATTCGGTGAACAAAGCCCCAGTGATCAGCCTCTCCCAACTACTCATATAGCTTCTTGTAACTGCAGTTCTCCCACCCTATTGACTGTTACTACATGCATTGAGATTTCTGAGTTATTCTCCAAACTATTCATCGTTAGGTCAGTCATCCTACACTTATCGGAATTCTTCCGTTCCGGTGATATGACTACCCCTGACCTACTGGTCTGACGTGTCAGTCGTTGCAAGCGTTCCAGTAGATTGCGCAATTTTGTCTAATGACATCAATTGAGTCATACACAGTTTATCTCACTTATTGATATTCTTCAGATCGCTGTGAAATTGAGTAATTTTTTGCATGTGCTACCACAAGCAAACATTCGGCCATAGGTATGAGAACAACTCACTTCCGGACACAACACAAGACATTTTCACAAAAGCTTTACTGACCTCTGTCAGCTCGGAATAAAACTTGTGAGCGGTGGTAGAGTATAATCCCACCACGTAGAAAATTTTATTTTGATAGTCTCTCGGTGTTGTGAGCAGAATTTATTGTCCATAATCGTCAAGGTGCACAACTTTCTGACTTCATTTATAAACATGAGTAAGAAATTAACTAGACACACGAATGAGTAAAATAAAAGTCAATATACATGCATGAAACAGAAAGGAAGATAGAATACATTTGGAAATAATATTGGTTATCAATATAATGATACAATGGTAAATAAGACGAGTGTTGTCAGTCAATAAAGTGTTTTGTCAGTAAAATAAAATAACATGTTGGAGTGTGAAAACGTGAATTGAAATAAAGCATTCCAATATGGAGAAAAATATACATGACGAGTGGGATTGTTGACAGAGGGGCATAGTTGACTTTCACAATTTTAACATTAGCCTGAGAGGCTGTAATGTCAGGAATTTTACTTCACACCTAGGGAATCTGGCCTGTTTACTGGCAGTAGTGATGCTGTTTTATGAAGTGGTGCGTTTTCCACCGGTTTGGGGGGATTGTCATGCAATACCTCGCAACATCTGAGAGCATCAGCATCGATGATTCAGAAGTACTTTATGTCCACTTATCACGTCAATAAGCTGATGATTGTCAATTCGAACCTTGCCGTGTCACTACTTTGTTTATCGTTATCCCAAACACTAGCACTACGAAAGATCGAGTCTTCCGACTGCCTGAGCACTGCTTCAAGAGAATAGAAATGCATTATGAGGAAACGCTTGTTGAAAATCCATACCGTTAAGAATAAGGAATTCTGTGCCACAGTAATGATGTCAAGATGAAAGTAAATAGATGTATACATGAGGAGCATATCTATCGTCGTTTTCTCTCGACTTTTGGAAATCAATACTGGCTGAAAGTGTAATTTCGAATCTATTGGACCGAAGTTCTGTCTCTCTTGATATCCCAGTCCCTGGTACAGATGCTTAAAGGATGTTTCGAAGTTATTTTATCGATGCTGGCAAACGGTGGCTAATAAATTTCGTGTTTCTCTCGAAGTATAAGAATTATAGTAATGGTTAAATTATGCTCACAAAGCCATTTCAAGCGGACTGCGTGCAACCGACTATAGGTTAATGTCCCCTTTGGTCTAACAGTACCGTTTTTCCCCTGTCTTCTTTTGCCAACGCAAAATATTCAGATTACGACGTGTGACCAGTTTGGCAACAATAACGGTGGTCCTCATTCCTAGGAATGCTTAACGTTTCCAATTTGTATTATCGCGAAGTGCTACAATTGACTTCGAACTAGGGGAACACGAATATACAGTCGAATGATGTATCGAGTGAAGTTAACCAGCTGCGTGTGGCATACGTAGTAGGAAAGGCAAATCTCAGTACGATTATCCAGTGCATGTAGCAGATCGGTTAGTAATGTAATGCCAAATGCTTCATCAGGCTCCAAGTAACTACAAATCTTACATGTGTGATACAGGAACAGAATTAAGACTGGTAATCATTGATGTCTTATTTGTGTATAGTATCTTAAAGTCCGGTAAACACAGTCTGTAGAATGGTTGGAGATGGAATTAAAAAAAACTACTTGGTTGCACAACCTACAAGCCCATAATAGGTCGGCAAAAATGCTTTTCAGCGATTTCATTCCGAAAAGTTGTACAATCACAATTCACATAACTTAGCGTGGTTTTCAACTGTTATTCAGTTTAACAGCAATGAAGGTGAGGTTAAAATGAGATAATTCTCAACTTGATATGGAAGTTCGTGAATGTGATGACATGAGTGTAAATTAAAAGAGTTATGTAAAACAGACTATTTTCCTAACCCTGTATTATTATTTAGGTCACTACCCTCAATGTGACCTAAATTCTTTCATCACATCTGCGAACTTTCACATCTAGTATGGAATTATTACTTCATTTAAATTTTGCCTTCGTAACTGTATCGAATTAAATTTTTTTTAAATTCCGAACTACGCTAACGTGTATGAATTGCGGTTGCAAAACTTTTGAAAACAAAGTCGTTGAAAAGGTAGGCTTTGCACGACTTCTTGTTTGTTCTTCTTTAATGTCGTGATGAGTATCCTGTACGGTTTGAAATTTACAAATACCGCACGGAAACGTCATTTGAACATGTAGTATGAACACTTAACAACAGGTGTTGATCGGATATAGCAATTCTAAAAAGATCTGTAGTTTGCTTGTGATGATGAAAAAGCCCATAGAGCTCTGTGAATGATATTATCTCATTAAAATACTTGTAATAACTTTAGTAATAGAAAAACAATAGAATAGTATCTATCGGTTCCGAAGTTTAAAAAAAAAGTACACGCGGTTAGTATATTTACAAACATCACAAGAATGGATTACAAGTGAATCACAGAAATGAAGACACTAATATTACATACACTCAATCAACTGTTGGGATACCTAGGATATTAACTGAGAACACAATGGTTAGCAGAACAATGGATATTTATCTCTCACAATCATCAAGAGACTTGTCTTTCCTTCTCCAAATGATGACAGCACCTTTCTCATCTGCCGATGCTAACATATTTTCTTCCCAACTGATTGCAACATCTAGTACAGGTGCTATATGTCCTTGTAAGATTGTTACAATGCCGGCAGATAATTGCTTAGGTCTGTTGAAGACATTTCCTGTTGTAGAATTGCTATTACGATTGCCTAATACGTTATACAAGTAGACATTACAATCTTCGCTACCACTTACTGCGCAAGCTCCAGAACGGAAAGATATAAGTGGTGCAAAGCAAGAATGAATTAGATGAAGGGTTGAGGGATTTGAACTTTGTTGTAATGGAAACCTTTGTTCCAGTATTAGCTGTCTTCCACGTAGTGTTAGTCGAAGCAGCAAAAGCCCAATACCCGCTACATTGACTAGCATGTATGTTCCATTCTTTTCTTTTGACAGCCAATCGTATATTGAGAGGCTAGTTATACTAGGCTTCATGAGAGTGTTTTTACTGTTTGTCTTAAGTATGCCACCAGATAGGCGTGTTCGGTCTTTGTTACTGGTCCACTTTTTGAAACTTTGATCTGCTTTAGATAGGAAGAGAGCTTTACCTCTACCACTTAATTCTTTGTTCAACTGATCGTGCAGTTTTATTTCACCATCCAGAAATGAGGACAAAATGGAAAGGTCTAACAAGGATAGATCGAAACGCTGAGATCTTGTAATGAAACCTGTTGATGATTCACATACGTAAGATTGAATTATACCCCGATCAGTTCCAACCCACAAATAATTGCCAGATGCATTTTCAAAAGCCAACGTTGTGATACAACCAGTACCCAATAAGCTGCGCAGCTCAATTACCGAGGAATTAAGACAAGTTTTACTGTGGCGAGTTATGTGAATGCGGTCCATCCCTCTGACGCACGCTTTACCTGTGGAGAGGTTTAGCATCTAGAAAGAAAATACTGTAATAATCAGGAAGCTATCGGAAAAGTTTTAGGGTGATGAATACTATAATATACTCAAATCAAATACATGTCCATTGTCTACAAACATGAAGGTGTTCGGACTAAGTGAATATGTGCAATTAACCTCACACGGAAGAAGTCATACATACGTAGACATTATTATGTGTTAGGGTCAAATAAATAAGCACTTTCACACTGGAAGCAATAAGCCATTTTAGATAAAATTAAACGAATTCGTATAAAAATACTTATAATATGAAAAAGTCAGTGAATAGAGGTTTACAGCGCATTAAAGCACTGATAGAAGTCATCGGTATACAAGGAGTCCACATCGAAAACCATGATTTTTAGCGAATGTTTATACAATCAGAGATTCAAAGTGTATATGAATCATATCTATTTAAGAAACATAGCAATTAGCTGAGCAAAGAAATATATTCCTTTCCAATTAGTCCTTTACCGACAGATCTGCACTAATAAATACAGTTTACAGGATTTCATCATGAAATAACATCGGTTCGAGAACTATTGGAAAACCCTGGAGTACTGGACAGCTGTTTCGTCCTAATGGGGTACAGCAGGTCGGTTGAGGACAAATACTCGCCGAAGATATTGGCTAGTGGTCGCGCTATGTCGTGAATTGGCAGAAGTTGGAATTCATGGGTCGTTGGATCGGGTCCCAGTGGCTTAGTGGTCCACGAGCTCGTCTTACAACCAGTAGGTCCTGGGATCGAACCCCGTTGGGTGCGTACTGATCAAGAGCCCCAAACTAGGATGACATAGCTGTCCAGTATTCCCAGGTTTCCCAATGGTTCTCTAACCGATGTCAGCTCACGACGAAATCCTGTAACTAATCAATCAAATCCCTACAAGCCAATACTTGAATATAAAGTCTAAAAAATAGAAATCATACAGTAATGAGTTGGTCTTTATCAATTATATAATAACCTGTCATTGATTTCTACAAACAAACAGACTTGCACTTCTGTAATTATTATCACCCCTTCTATTCCTCAAAATTAATAACTTGTAAGATAATGATGATCAAGAAGAATGAGTGAACAGGTTTGTTAGTAATTCAGTAAGCATACCAAAGTACGAAGTAGTCGGTTAAATTGGCTCCCATGGATATCTACAGGGGATTATATAATAACAAACTGTTGCTAATTTCTACATATCAACTGACTTCCAATTCCTTTTATTTTCTCAAAATTAATATTCTTTGTTGACTAACGTATCACCATTCAACCGCCGTAATTTGGGTGGATTATCTATTTAAAATTTACATATTAGTGTAAAAATGTTGGCAGAGAATTTATCGAAAAGGATAGTATTTCTGTGCTTGACTTGTTTTCTTTCTAGATGCTAAATCTGTTTGCCAGATAGCGTTTTAATCAACAGTTCAGATACATGTAATTATTCCAATTCTATTGGTCATATCTCCATGCTAGAATAACTAACTATGCCTTCACTAACAATGTGCGTGGACTTACCTGAGGAATAATACACGCTGATATCACTACTGGTTTAAAATAAGCTGGCATAATATCTGTCCTAATTCAAGTTTTTGTGTTAAGACAAAATCATTACGAAAATCTTCGTTATTTTTATGTGATCCTGAGTGTGGAAATCCTTATTCCATTTAAAAAATAATACAAAAAAAATCCTTTACGATCTGAATAGTTGTAATAAGCATTTGTAATTGAAACCTAAGCTTCGCTGTACACTGGTAACTTTTTTTAATTTTTTATCTTATTCCTTTATGATCCCAGTGGATCATAAGGCTTCAAGCTAGAGCTTTGAAGTTTCAGTGGCGACGTGAGGTTGCTAACCTCATGCCCAACCTCCCTACTTTACCGGTCTTATTACCGGATTAGCGAGGTAAAGGAGTGCGTTGGCCGGGGATTGAACCCCGGACCACATGCCTGGTTGGCGATCATTCTACCGCTAAGTCACAAATGCACTGGTAGCTATAGACGTCCAATATAATATAACAGAACTATGTAAGAGATACGGAAATGAAATACTTGACTAAAAGAATGAAATAGGTAAGCTATATTAATCAAGTGCATTCATATTTCTTAAGGAAGTAGAATGACGAAAAAGACTGCCGCATCAGATCGTTGGAGGTAATCGGCAAGACGTCTTGGACCTAGATTTCGTGCTTATTTGCACTCGTTAGTAAGGAACTCATGTTCCCTCTTAGATTCTAACTCGTGTCACCCAGTGCTGCAGTCAGAGATGTTATCACTGAGCTATTTGTGCTGGCGATTGACCTCCTGTAGGACTATATTAGATACTGTGATTGAACACTAAGTAGTAAGTAACCAGTGTCATGCATCTAGTCCTTTGTTTGATGAAGAGCATCATATCCCCAATGGTTTAGATTCAGCACCATATCACATGATCCGCCGGACCCCATCTAGGAAGACGCGGTGGATGCTAACGCTCAACAACTGTTCTTTACTTCACGACACTGGGCTAACTAATTCTCCGCATTTCCAATCAGTAGGAAGACTAGAAAATAATGAATATTATAGATAACTTACTAACATACGACCTATACCCCGGTATGATATCTCCATCTTGCCGAAAGAAACAGAAATCCGCATTGTCAGACTTCAGAAATAAAACACTGACACCACTGGATGCAAATTACTCTACACAGAGAGCAATGGCAATTGTTCCAAGTCACGTCCCACCTTCAGCTTGGACAAGCGAGGCTTTATAGGTGTAAGGTAAGGCTGGATATATTAAAGCATTACTAGTCCAACCCCTGACGGTCGGATTATTGTTGCAGCGCCAAAAAGGACCGATGACATCGTATATCCCCCTTACCTTCAATTTAACGTTGTGACTTCCATCCACCAGCACTCATACAACTACCTATGCATAAAGACTTTAAATGCTTCTAAAAATTTTACTAAAGGGATGATTGTGATTACTAGCTGGCTGGTTTCAACGTAGAACTTTGGAAAGGTGAGCAGCAGCTCGAGTTGCCACACTCCATGTAGCACACAAAGCAAGAGAAGGGAGTAAAGAGAGGATCAAAAGAAAGATAATAAATAGAATTGTGAAGCAAAAAGATTAGTAGTATGGAGGGATTATAGACTTTTATTAGATATGATAGTCCACAAAGAGTGAATGTATCTGCACTATGCATTGAGAAAGATTTTGAGCGATATCACCAGTTGTCTCCAGACATTGATTTTTACCATCCCGAGGACGCCAACCGGTCAGGAAATCCACACCACCCTATGTGGCTTAAAGTAACCCTTCTAAAAGAACAACTATTAATGGAGATTTAATGTAATGATGCAGCTTGAGAACCGAAGCTGATTATCACACCAATGACATAAAGCAGAAGACAGTGTAACACAGTCCCTGAATAAGCGCACACGAAACGTAATTTTGAGTATATAATGGAAAAATATTCCGAATAAACGAGGGGAAATACCGAATGAGTGATGAAAAAAAAATAATTCAATGAAGAATAGTTTTCTATATGGACAAAATTATCTTTAGAGACTGTATGATGATGGTCACTCTTTGTGAAACACGTGAGTTTACTATTGAATAACACAGTCGATTTACGTTATTGAAACAGTGGCTTAAAGACAGAAAAATCAAATCACATTGTCAAATTAGAAATACTCACATTTATTCTTTTTGATTACTATGTAATTTTATTTATCCAACTCTAAAAACTGCTTTTAGATTACTACCTTTGTGTGCTACATGGAGTGTGGTAACTTGAACTGATGCACATCTGCGCAAAGTTCTATGAGAAAATTTACTCAGTATCAAAGATGTAACTCCACCTCACTATTCAACAATAGACTGTTGTATCCTTAAGTAAATATAATTACGAAAATACAACCCCTGAAGATGACCTCCTCCTCAATGAGCAAAAAGTTGCTCACCAGATTGTAGTTTGTTTTTTGACATAGCTAGTTCGCCGTATTCAACACAGATTAACTGCTACTTTTTCCACGGTTCGGGTTGTTTATCTGTGAACATTTTTTCTGGTCTAGTGTGCAGTTTTAACACAAGTTTGGTGAACAATGGAAATTATACAATATCGATATTTTGTTATGTGGTCTTCTGCATCTCACCAATATCAAAGAACACTAACACGTTTACATTTGAAATAGTTGCAAAGATATTAGGGGAAACTGCAAATATTAAAAAAGATTTCACGAGTGAAGCATGAATTATGTTTACCTGGACGATTCCAGTTGCACTGCCAACAGCGAATAAGTTGTTATTTGCAGGTTGAAATGCGCATGTCAGTAGTGGACCAAGTTTTAGATCCTTACTCAAATACTCTCGTGCTAGCCTTGCTTCCCCAACATCCCAAAGACATATATTACCGTCAAGAGATGTACTCACCAGAAACTCATTGGTCATGGACCACGCTATATCAGTAATTTCTGTTTGTTTTACACGAAATTCTGGAAGAACACATGAAATGGAAAAGTGTCTGCTGGTTGGACAAATACGACATATGGATATAGTACCATCAGAAGAAGCCAATGCTAAACGACTTGAGTCATGATTTGCAAAGCACAAGCGGTTAACAGATCCTGAGAAAACAAGAACAAATTACAATTGGATGAATAAATAATTGGATCACAGAATCAAAACAGTGCTGTACGAATAAATGAAATTTATCGCTTCGCAAAACTATACAACACGACAAATTTTATAGTACATTAGGTGAAAATATTTCTTTTCCCGATTGAATAACACTATGAAATAAAACTGATGTATGACAACTGACTCAAAGATATGTCAATCACTAGTATTAGTGCTACATAAATCCTTAAAAATTAGAACACTACTTAGTAAACTACTTAAACACTCAATTAGAACACTTAAAGTACAAAACACTATTTCTTCCACAAATTAGGATAAAATTTAGAAAATAAATTTCAATATCTATCGTAGTTATATTCAGGTCCCGAGTGCGCATATTAGTGTCAAGGTTCGAAGTAGGGCCACTTAGATACAATCAGTGGTAGATATTGTAAGGTGTATTTTGCAACTGCGTGTAGATTAAAGATGTATCTCATAATAAACTTTATTGTGATACTGACGATAGAACAAGGAAATATTACTGACAAAATATATCCAGACTCTGATTATGCTTTACTGTGCACTGAATCAACCTTGAAATTACATATGATCAGAATGACTGTTCTAAACGAACTTGATATCCAGCAACCTATCTACAAGAGTGTAAATGAGCACTAGATGTACACAAAAACAGTATTAAAATATTGAGGGAAGATGCTTGTTGTGTAAAAGAACATACCGTTAGTAAAGGCTGGGTGTATGTTCGACTCTTGGAAACAGTTGACTGGCATCAATTCCTTATTAAATGTAAATCTTTTAAGTGAACAGCTGCTACGAGAGTGGATTATATGGCGGTTATGTTTGAAAATCGGGGTAGAAGTAGCTAGGCTTGACGACTACTTCAATTACCTGAAAATTCACAGCAACACCGGTAGTGCGCTTGCGGTCAAGAAAATACAGACTAAAAAGGCGTGATCAAATGTAGTTACCTTAAGCTAGAGGGAAATTTATTTAAACGCATTTCATCAATACGGGAGTGTGCAATTTGGACGTGACTATTAAATACTAGAGATCCATAATGGTTTTAAGCGCTTGGTAACAGTCATCAGTGTAGTGAAACCCACGTAAGATATATCTTTATGAATATTTAACTAGAATCAACTACATAAATGAAGATGTAAATATCCACCGATGAGCATGGTCTAATCGTAAACAGTACAGCGCTTTCCTATTGTCTTAAGTTAGTTAGAGAAAGTTAGAGGTAAAATTACCCCCTGAGACTTGACTGTCTGTTTGTTTTACTACAAACACTGTTATTTAATGACAACTTGAGTCTAGAGTTAGGTATGGACGTGGCACTAGCCAACTAACTGCAGACTAAAAAGTGTTCAGGAGAGCGATGGTTTCTGTATACGTGACATATGCCTTAGCTACTTGAATCAATAAGACTTTACAAAACCGTCCATTGACTTTCTCTGATCACCTAGCACTCCCTTATTACTGATCACTATCTAACACGAAAGGTTGAATGGATACACCACAAGCTTTTCCGTATCTCCCCCTTTCAACAGCTATTGCATAGCAGTAAAGTAGGACAAAGAGAACTGTTGTACAGTATATGTTTTTTGATTCCTGTACCAAAGATAATCGTTGTTGACAATTGGCAAACAAGCCTTTTGTATATGTGCCTAGATTTAGTTAATTAAAGCTGATGCAACTACTCAAATGAGTGAAGTGCAAACCAGTCCTGTAGCATCATCTTACATTCGACAGAGAGAATAGCATATCGAACATACTCAGAATGCTTGTCTCTTGTTTCTATGATTTCAGTTGAACTCAGTAAACTGTTACTTAATTTATGAGTCACTCATCATCTTAGGCATCTCTTGTCTTTATTACGTAACTCCTTTACCATAGTATGCATACATTAACTTTGTTTAAACTTGAACTGCCTGTGTAAAAAACCATATAAGCATAATTTTCTGAACACTGTGTCACTTATTCCGGAACCTCCTGTAAACTGACATCATGTAAAATTTGCAAGTATGTTAAGACTTTTGTATACATAAAATTAAAAATTTATTTAGACTGTAGGCAGCTGATGAGAAACCAACGCAATAAATGATGGTACCACAATATTCTGCACAAACCATTGTTGTTCTTGCTTAATTTAAATACTGAGAATGCATAGAAGGCTGGATTTTTCCCACAGTGTTATACAGTAATATTTACTGATGACGTTTCGAGCACAATTTATTGCTCATAATCATATCAAGGTAATCACACGACTTCCTAAATTCATTTATATAGTTCCATTGTTTTTCACTTGATTTGATTGGTAGTATTATTTTCCATATCTCGGGTATGAGTGATGATTCATTCCTATTACATGTGTTGGGTGTAGATTCGAATGACATCCTGAGGATGTCATTCCTAACATAGAAGTAGCACTAGGTTCAATAGATAAGACAACAGCAGAAGAGGTTCGAGCACAATGTGCATTAACCCTAAAAAATCAAAAGAAGGCAAAAGCAAACTTGACAAAATCGGAAAGAGAAGCTTTAATTAACCTAAAACAGGATAGAAATATTGTCATCGCAAAAGCTGACAAAGGAAACGCCACCGTAGTTTTGAATAAATCTGACTACATCAAGAAAGTCACTGAACATATTAAAATGGGTCCATATGAAGAAATTAAGAAGCCCGTAGATACAATAATGAATAAGGTTAAAAAATCCACAGCGGAATTAGTACGCAGAATGAAGCTATCACTGGGTGAGTCAAAATGGTTTAATTTAATGCCCAAAACTAATAATGCTAGAAGGATGTATGGTACTATTAAAATACATAAGCCAGGTTATCCCATAAGACCAAGAGTAGATTTTAGAAATACCCCTACATATGAATTATCAAAACATTTAGCTCTAATATTATGCCCCATTAGAAATCGTTCAAATTCTAGACTAACTAATTCATATGAGATGAAAAATAAACTAAATGACATACAACTAGGGAATGATGAAACAATGGTTAGTTTTGATATAACCAGTCTTTATACTAATATACCAGTCAATATGGCGTTAGAAGCAGTTAAAAAAGAACTAACTGCGGATCCTGAACTCAATCATAGGACATAGCTGTCCATTGAAGAAATTATTTTAGGGATTCAGCTATGCCTCACACCTACTATATTTAAATTCCAAGGCAAAATATATAGGCAAACTGAAGGTGTAGCAATGGGATCACCAATATCCCCTATCGTAGCAGATATATTTATGGATAGCTGGGTTAATATGGCACTTAATACGTTTAATCCTACTCCAAAAATATGGTGGAGATATGTGGATGTGATGTGTTAAAAACAGAACATATCTCTAGCTTCTTGACACACATAAACTCACTAGTGGAGGGAATAAAATTCACATTTGAAGCCGAAAATGAGCAAGGAGAATTAGCTATGTTAGATTGTAAAATAAAACGAATAGAAGAAGGCAAACTACACACTAGTGTTTATAGAAAACCAACGCATTCTAATAGATATTTAGACTTTAATTCATCTCATCCTTTAACTGTTAAGGCAGGCTTAGTTAAGTGTTTAGCAAACCGAGCGATGGCACTAAGTAGCACAAAAAAGACCTAAATGATGAAATAAAACAGATAGAAGAGGCGTTGGTTTTAAATAACTATCCTCTAAAATTCATTAGGAAGATTGAAAAACGCCAAAAGAAAAATAAAAGGAATTGTGAAACTAGTAATAATAACATAAATAAGAGAGAATATGTCATCGACAGTTATACCATATAAAGAGGGGATATCTGAGACCCTACGTAGTATTCTTTATAAAGCAGGAATTAGGGTGGTATTTAAATCTACAAACTCAGAGACAAGCTCTGTAGATTAAAGGACCCAGTTGACCCAATTAGACAAAATAATATAATTTACAAAATATCCTACAATGACTATGAGTTAGGTCAACTACATAGGTCAAACTAGTAGATCGGGAGCAATCAGGTTATCAGAACATAAGAATTTAGCTAAGATTAGAATGAGTGACCCCGTAAAAATAAGTAATTTAGACGAAAACTCAGCAATCGCATTGCATGCGTTAACACACAACCACATAGCAGAGTGGGACAGAGTGAGAATTCTAAAAAGTAACATAGGTAGATGAAGAGAGAGATTGATTACTGAATCCTGGTTCATCGAGTCTACACCCAACACATGTAATAGAAATGACTCAACACAAATACCAGAGATATGGAAGATATTATTACCAGTCAAATCAGAGGATAATAAATATTGTTAAAATGTATTTCAATTCACATTGTAACAAGTTATTTATCTTACCAAAAGAACATCTTATTTCCTATATTGTTGACTAACAACACTCGTATTTATTGATAACACTAATATTATTTCGGAATGTACTTTATCTTCCTTTCTATTTTAAGCAAGACTTTTGTTGATTTTATTCATATGTCTAGTCAATTTTTACTCATGTATATAAACGAGACAAGAAAGTTGTGTGAGTACCTTGATATGATTATGAGGAATAAATTGTGCTCGAAACGTTATCAGTAAATATTAGTGTATCCATAATGGAAGAAATAACATTTTTCTCTATCAATGAGGATATCTCTAGAGGCCTAACTATTGCATTTATATTTACTAAAACAAATAGTCTGTTATTGAGTATCGGTGTAGGGCTTTTGAGAGTAAGGTTCGCTCTAAAATAAATCTAGATTGCAATTTATCAGGGCTTGGTATTTCTGAGAGCACCATACGACGTGCAGACAATGAACACAATTGCAACAGTAGCTAAGAATGGGTGACCACATGAAAATACCTAGACTCGAGTTCATCAGCCATCTTCGTAGATAGCAGTAAACTAGAAAAAATGAGCGGATTGAATTATTTATATTTCAGTAGTTTACACACAACGATAAGCTTTTTTATTTTGGTAATATTTTGAGCGAAATTACTGAACGTGATCACACCATTTGTGAGTAGTAATCACATAATTGCAGTGCGTTGGTGGCACAACGGTAGAATGCTTGCCAACCACACTCGTGATCCGGAGTTCTATCCCCGGCCAACGTACTCCTTTACCTCTCTAAGCCAATTATAAGACTGGTAAAGAGGGAAAGTTGGTCATGAAGCCAGCAACTCCATCCCGTAAAAATATACACCACTTCTACCGAAACTTCAGAGCTCTAGGTCGAAGCCCTATTACACTGGGAACGTAAAGGAATAAAATAAAATTTTAAAAAATCACATATTTGTAAACCGTCTTCTGTTGGTTAATTTTTGTGTATCCAGGATAATACTCCAAGGTTCTTGACAGTTGTGCCGAATCACCTTAATGAAAACAGACTAATTGGGTCACACCGAATACATGTAACAAGGGTGACTAAGCACAGCTGTGAACACCATGTATACACAAAAATGAAACAACAAAAGACGGCTGCTGCTGCTGGATTCAACATAGAACTTGGCACCGAAGTGCAGCAGTTCGAGTTGCCACGTTCCAAATAGCACACAAAGGTAGACAGGAAAAGGAGAGAAGAGAATCAATAGAATTTAGATAAGTATAAGAGTGAAACAGAATGAGTAATGGTAGAAAGGAATATGAAGGTTAAAGAGACTGAATACATCTGCGCCATTGACAACGATTTTGAGCCATGTCACCTACTGTCTCCAGCCACTGATTCTTAGAGTCCCGAGGGCCCCAACCCGGAAGTCTGCATCTCCCTACCTGACTCAGTTTAACTGTCAGGGATTTCATGGACTGATGCCATGTTTTTGTTTGGCCACCACTTACTCTTTTCCAACCTGCACCTAAATCAGCTAGTAATGCCCGTCGGGGGAGACGATGGTTATGCATGCGCAGCACGTGACCTAGCCATCTCAATCTATGTAACTTCATAGCCTCTTCGAGTGATTTTCCCTCTTTGCCCAACACTCGACGCCTAACGTCAACATTACTTACCTTATTATGCCACCTAACGCGAGAAAGAGATCGTAAACATCTGTGGTCAAAAACAGACAATCTCTTCATGTCTTCCGCTCTCAATGGCCACGTCTCACCCCCATAGAGAAGGACGGAGCGAACTAAAAGACGGACTACAAACACGATTGCTATTCATTAACGTGTGCATTATAAAAATACAACTGCAACTATTTTTGTGATCACCGGCAGTATTTTTGCTCGAAATACTACAAAAATGGAAAACTTATCAGTGTGTAAACTATTTTAATATAATTACAATTAATTTGATCTATTGCATACTCCAGACTTTTCACCGACATTAAAGCGTGAGCTACTTATATGAAATGGTATTTTACTAGTTAATATGTGAATGTATTATATTACCTGAATGATGGTCGAATATATGTTCAATACCAGAAAACGCATAACTTTCGCTTAGAGTCTCAGTTCTTGTAGGTGTTGTATACTCTGAAGTTATATCCTAAATTGCAATAAAAAACAGCAACATTAGATATTTTAACTTTTTCGAGATTAGATTTATGACGTTAAGCAACATATCATTAACAGCTTTATGAGTGAGAGAAATAGATATAGTCTTTTAATAAATCCATTTCACGATTTTAATGGGCCAATGGCATGTTAATGATACACTTATACTTGTTCTTAAAAATTACCCTGTAATTCATGTCTTAATGTGAACTACACATCTATAAATTCTCAGGCGTCATATCGCGTTCTGCGGAAGAATTCTACTTGATAAAAAACAACTGACGAATGTGATGTGTGAGAAGTTAAAACGACTTTTAGAAAAACGGAAATTGCATTAATTAATTTAGTGAGAATAGTTTCCGTTTATTGTCATTATTATAATTCACATTCCTTGTGCTAAGAGTAGGACATTACATAGGTATTTATTAGACTTGGTTTTCTGCCATCACTTTCAACCGGCTCTGTAGTTTCTACCACGCTTTCATTTTGATTACAGAGGCTTTTCTCTTAAAGTGATTGTTTAAGTGGTCTACAGAAGGCTAAAAGGCATGCTAAACATTTACTATTTTTCTGCAATCCAATGAAGAAGTCGACAAACAAATATAACATCTAAAAAAAGAAGTGAACACTTTGGGATTATCAGCTAATAACTGATGACGTTAGCTGTCGTTAGAGTGCAGATAGTATTTGGGTTCCCATGACAACAGATAGAATCACAAAAAGTAGATGATATGATGCTAAGTCATTCAAAAGATAGGATTACGAGTGAGCTAGTATTTAGATATTCCAGTGAATTTGAATAGCTTACCAACACATAGTTTACCTTTATACGACAATGTGTGAGTAGAATATGAGCAGTGACAGAACACCACTCCGCATCAAGAAATTTAATTCACAATTTGTTTTAATAGAGATAACTGGATGATATTTCGTGCACAGTTTATTGATTATAAACACGTCAATATATTCAAACAACTTTCTAACTTGCTTTTTGTAGTTTCACTCCCTTCCATTTTTAATACAACTTTCATATAAATGCAGGTGATGTTATTCTTAACGTAAGTTACTGACTCGGTGAAAAACGGTCCAGTGACTAGCCCTTCTCCCTACCTAAATATATTACTTCCTAATACGTCTACTATATCCACGCTACTGTGTGAGGGCTAATTTTCCCAAATTACTTGACGTAGAGGGTTCTAGCATTCTAAATCTAGCTAAATTCACACGTTCCTATAATCTAACCAATTTGGTGTAACCTATAGAGGCGGTGATAGAAATAATCACAATGATGACTAATAAGAAATTTAGAGCCTCTACAGTACCACCATATGATAAAAGGAAACCTGAACCAACAGAAGGATTTTTAATAAGATAGAAATCAGGTTGGTGTTTGAACCTATGAACTAAGAGATAAACTTTAGTCAACTTAAAGATCTCACTGACTCGATTTGACATGATAAGAATCAATGGTTAGAAATTGTTTGTGACATGACTCAAAGTCCGCAATGGAGCTAGTGTTGCCATTTGTTCTTATTTTCCGGATTATGAATGTTCACTAGACTTCATTTGATTATTTTCTGTATATTTTCGTTACATTTTACCTGTACTATCACAAGTGCTTAGGAGCGATTACTACAATATAAGGTTAGTTATTTTAAAACCACTGTCACTAGAATATCTATGAAAGCGTTTCTGACATCTTAAGAGTGACTGAATCATCTAACGGGTCTTAAGAAAAACATTCAAATCTGGAGCTGTATAATTTTCACCTAAATACACGATTATCCAAGAAAGATCAAAGACCAAATCTTGTTAGTGCGGACAGTGGCAACAAATCTTTCAGTGAATGCCTTCTAGATGAAAACTAATAACAGAAATAATTGCTGCCAGGATTAACAGACTACTTTTCCTCCTATAATAAGGCTGTACAGTGGGATGGTTAATTCGTTAATGTTAGAATTTAGTACATAATTATAACAGTTAACTGATATCGAAATGTTCATATTCTCCACAACACAAAACTCTGAATCTTACTTGCATTTTCTGTAACAATGACTACCGCTTTCGGCCATTTGATGCTATGGGTTGCGGCAGTATTTGTACTATCGGTCTGCAAAAAATTTTTATGGCTCTTTGCCAGGTGAGACATATATATATATATATATATATGCTGAGAATAGATGCCCCATTTTATCACAGGGATGGTTTCTACGCATAATAATTTTGGAAGGTCAACGATATAAATGTTTTTAGACGCCGGACTCGGGTGGTGGTACCTATTGTTTATAGCTGTAATATATACATACACATACTCGTGTATTCTTTGATTCCGACAGGACGGATATCGAAACCAAAGTTTTTTTTCAAGTAAGACCAAATAAAAAAGATTTCAGGAAGCATGACTCAGTAGAAACATGAAGTATTTTTATGAAATCCAAACAAATTGTCCGAAAACCCAACAAAAGTAACTATACACGTGTGTGACACACACTATTAGCTATTAGCCCCTTCCTTCTGACTGAATTTTATATATATATATATATATATATATATATATAAAGGGTAGGACATCAATTTATGCAACAGTGAGCATGAATAGAAACATCGAGAGTGCAGTTTAACTTGCGATCAAAGCTTTACAAAACTGACTTACACAAACAGATCCAATCATTGAGTAGTCTAGCAGCGAAGGCTGCCTAGTACTTTCGTCAAAGCTCTTGGTTTTATTAATACTGGATTGCGGCGACGGACACTTAATGGACTTTGGTGGACCATAGAGTGTTAACAGAAGCTGCTCGCGAATATTCCTATAGCTAGCAAAATAAGCCATAGAAGTTTCAGCCGAATAGTGAGCACTACTTGACAGATTCGGAAGCTTAAATGTCTCACCATTACTCAAAACTGACTTTTCCCTTGTTAATTGATTTCTTCTCCGAAGGTAAAGTTGTCGCAACTCTGCATTTGTTTTTGTTGCAGGTCTAACGATGCTATATCGCGAGTCAAGAGCTAAAACCTGCTGCCAAACGTCACATGACATTTTTTCCTGGAAAGAGGTGAATAACCAGCAGAGATTGCCACTGTAACTGCTACGTTTAACGACCAGTAAACTACGTTACCCAAACGATGCAGTAAGCATCTAGCAGTAACTGAAATAAACACTTCTAACCAAGATTGTGGCAAACAAAACTGTAAACAGCGGCAAGTTCAAAAAATTGCGCATACATCCTTAGGATACATCCAATTTCCAATGCTGAAATGTTTGCAACCTGAGGAAATTGACCTAGTTCCTAGACCTGCACTTGCTTGTGAAGTGTAATTAGAGTTATATAACAGTCTGCAGTGAACTAAGTCAATTCATCCCTCCTAAAACTAGAATAAATTTAATTGGTACCTGCATATTTGTTCTGAATGGCAGTAAAGGATTGTTGGTGGTTGGTAATCAGAATGGTTCTTCCAAAAACTATGCTCGTGGACAGTCTTTCAAAAATGAAAAATGAAACGCAGAATAAAACCTAGGTGAGTACGAAGAAGCCAGAATATGTCAAAACAGTGAAAAAATGTAGAATAAGGCACATCGAACAGATAAAGAATAGAGCTATAGCCAGGCGTAAATAACGACTGGGAGGAGTAGCAGAGAGTTGAATATTTTGACACCTAAGACCCTCATATAGGACTGTGATTGTGATTTGTAAGCGACTTCGATGTAGCTTAATGGGTGTCTAACTTTCCTTTGATTATTTAATGTGACGATGCGACATTTGTAAAAACATACATCAATTCCTACCATGATCCCACTCAAAGAGATTTGAAGTGCTGCCGCATTTTCTTTCCTCCATCTCAAATGGCGAATTCTTTCCACTCTTTCATATGGCTGTGGTACATAAAGGTTAACCCTCACTTATTCTGTTAGTAGGTAAAGTGCCTATATTGGATTCATTTCTGAAAAGGTTTTTTCAACTTGTTTCGCTACTGGTAGAAGCCTTACTGGCCTTTTTTCGTCCGAGAACTCACAAAACCCATTTGTGCCCACAATACATAGTTGCTAGAATTTATGTATCCTCTGATATGGAGTTGTTTCACACTTGTAAATTTCACTGTTACATTCATGCACGTCATTGGATTCAGGATGCTGTTTGGGTTGAGATATCAAACTCGTAATCTTCTCAGCCGGCTACCTATATGCTTGTTTTCAGTCTGGAAACGATGTTAGCTTGGGTTAGCAGATACTGATCACAATATTTTAATCCTGAAAATGAATGCCTACTTGATGTAACTAGGGAAAGTTCGTATTCATGCGTACTCAAGTAGGTGATCACTAGTTCCTGTATTATTTGCCACGCTTCCTGAAACCTCTATTATCTCAGTGATGTTATACCAGTATGGAGCACCATTCGATATGTGACGTACATATTTGCTGCTCCTTACTTGACAGTGGATTCCGACTCAGCCTGTGAGGTTGCAGCTGAATTTGAAATAGAGATATGGTACAAGAGATTTCCAAGAACATCTAGTCAACAATTTGGCTTTTCTCAGTCGACAGAGCAACTGATAAGATCGCTGCACTGTGGGATGATGGACGGGAAGTGTTTTGTGTCTTTCTGAGCTATAACATCAGAAAATCAGTTACTAGAAGATGAACCGAATTGATGGGGAGGACAACTCTTAACCCATGTCTATGATCCATTCTTTTCGTGGTTGTCACTTTCGGAGTAGGTGTGGCAGGCTGATCAATGTGCAGGAGATCTCTTGGACTGCTAGGCTGGAGACTCATGTGATGGAATGACTGGTTCGATATATCACCATTAAACTGATAAGATAATGTAAAAATTGGTTACGGTGCAATTTATAAATAACCCGAATTATTCGTTAAGTAGTTGAGTTGGTCACGAAAGTTTATTGCCTTAAGGTAACCAGAGGCATTGGTGAGGCCGTCAACAATACTATCAGCATGTGTGCCCGGCAATTCTGTGAGAAGTAACCACCATATGGCAATACCTATGATGGCACATATCACTGGCGTAGTCCCTGAAGCTGAATTATCCAATGAGTCATTTCTTGATCCCATCATTTAGTAGCGAGCACAACTTGGCCTTTGTAGGCACAGGTGAACTGAAAGGTGTTTATAATCATTTTAGGCTCTAGTGTTTTCACCAGTCAAATAATAAGCTTGGCACGTTAGTAGCATGATGAACGAGGTGCTTAAAATGTTATAACAGCACACACCTAAGATTTGGATACCGCTTAAGAAATAAGGAATGGCTTCGTTGGCTGTGGTAAACTCAGAATTAATTTTGTAATGAAAGCCATTTACGGACATGGACGACATCTCACATATTTAGTAATATAAAACACAGTCACTTGGTACAGAGCTAATACTCTGTGTCTCATAGCTGTTATCTAATTTGATGATGTTAAGTCAAGGCTTTGTTCAATCATAGTTATATGAACGCAGCATACCTTTCCACATAAGCATGCTGCTATTACTCAGGTATTCAAGAAAATTACTTGCTTTGACTTATAAAAGTAGCTCGCATTGGGAAAACATGAGATAACAAAACTGATCACAACGCACCTATCCATCTTCATCCCCATATGTCAAACTAAACCACCTTAATGTGATTAACTTATATCCATAATGTTGCTGAGCAGTTAATATTCTCAACTCCTGTCGGAACAGCTAAAATTCACAAATCTTCCTCACGCTAAGAAAATACTCACAAGCAATAGAAATCCATTAATTAATGCGTCTGAAGCTTATTTATTTACTCCCAACAATGACATTGCAGATCAAATGAGATAAACATATCACTGATTTCAAAATAACACATCAATGAACTATAATTCAAGGATTCTGCACACAACGAAGTTATGTACGAAAATTGACCTCAAGCTTTATTTCTTTTCCCAGGCACTTATAATCCATCCACCAAAGACCTGGTTTTTTGTTAATGCGAAGACAATACTTCTGTATTTCCTGATGTGTTGCACTCACTGACAATCTAGCAGATTTTTCCAACTGTGCACAGAAATGATTGTATATAAGTGAAAAGGCTGTTTTATACTACTGGGATTAACATTTATCAAGTGTGTGTATTATCTCCAGCGAACATGTAAGGCATATGTTGCTACTGCCTGTAAATTGTGATTGAATTATATGGTTCTATTTCTGTAACAATTTGATGATGCCTGTAAACTGGTGTCCCTCATGTACTGTACTATGAGAATAAATTGATTTATTTATTTAAAAATAGGCAGTGCCCACTACACAACCCCTGCTAACGGCAGGTTACTACCATTAAAGTCCGACACCACGCTAACTAAGTTCTTGACCTGTAAATTTGCACTCCTTACCATCCATTTGTGCCATTGTTTTAACAAAGAAACATAATCTTTGAGCCATCATTTCCAAGACAAACACGTTAAATAGTTGGCTATTATCCACATTTTGCATAAATCGTCATCAAGATGGGTTACGCCAATTACTATTGTGTTAAGCCCTACTAACACTAGCCCTACATGTGTTAAATCACCGAGTGTACTAGTTGAACCGAACCGGAGGTAAGCCATTTATAACATGTTCAACCTCTATTAGTCAAGTTATAAGGCCTTCATCTTCAGCAGTTGTTTATTGACGCGATACCTAAAATCCTACGCAAGCTACGCATCGGACGTTACGCAAATTAGCCTCAGTGGTCTGCAGCTGGCGGGTTCAAATGACAACCTACACCTCTACTCACTAAAGTTTTATGTATTCTTACTCGTTTCCCATCGGTTAGGCACTGAGTTGAACCAAAAATGAACTTCGTCAATGCCATCATACAGGAGTCCGTGAACAGTATGCTAGCTAGCTCTTGTTGTCGTAATGTCAGGCATGTGAAAATACAGTGGTAGCATTTTCAGATCTCCTGCCTGGTGTCACTATGATCAGAACAGAATGGTCAACAGCTGTTGGGGAGAAAGGGTGTGTGTCCATCTCATTTATGGCCATTGGCAATTTTGCAGTCAGTTGGGACTGTGGCTTAGCTTGATCCTCCTAGAGAGCACCCAAACGCCAACAACCTTTTTAATTACTGCACCCCGCAATTTTCGAAACATTTCCCTAACAGTTTCTAATACATGTGTAGCACCTCCATGTCCTTCAGCATTGTGTCAGTTCCTTGAAATCAATTCCATATCTTGACGTCTCGATGACAATATTATTGGGTGTTTCCTTTCATTGGACCACACCCAGTTTGTCCCATTAGGCAGTTGATTGGTGGCTTATATCTCACGCTGGTTGGTAGAATTTGATGACGAAGGCACTCAAGTGGGAAGACACCCAGTTTGTAGTTGACCGCGGTCACAAATCGCGACATCCAACAAGGTAGGTTGGAGTTTGCAAAAAGGTAAGCTCAGCATTTGTAGCGACGAACTACCAGATGACACTACAAATTCAAGTTCCTCCTTAAATTATACTGCCTGAACCATTCTTGTGATGCTTGAACAAGCGCATTTCAGCTAATTTACCTTCGACGAACCCAAATTAGTGGGTGCATCGCTTCTGCTCAGGAGCATTATAGGCATATAGCTTTTCAATCGACCCAACCCAGCTACTGCTTTCAACAACCTGGTCCAGTCCGAGAAGTAATACAAACACCAACCTAAACCAGATTTATTTAAAGTGACTGTTGTCCGCTTCCAGGGTTTTGTGTGACGCTAGCCATTCAGCTTTGGGGCGACTTAGGAATGGAAGGCCTTCGCGCATCGCCTTAAGACATTCATCCTTAAGGAGCATCCTACAAGTTACAAAATCTGCAACTGGCTGGCTGGATTCAACATAGAACTTGGCACCGAAGTGCAGCAGTTCGAGTTGCCACGTTCCAAAGAGCACACAAAGGTAGACAACAAAATGAGTGAAGAGAATCAAAAGAGTTTTGACAAGTATAAGAGTGAAACAGAATGAGTAATGGAAGAAAGGAATATGAAAGATTACAGAGACTGAATACATCTGCGCCATTGACAACGACTTTGAGCCATGTCACCTACTGTCTCCAGCCACTGATTCTTAGAGTCCCGAGGGCCCCAACCCGGAAGTCTGCATCTCCCTACCTGACTCAGTTTAACTGTCAGGGATTTCATGGACTGATGCCATGTTTT